GAATCATTTTCATAGTTTACGATGTTAAAAATGTCTTATGGCTAGCCAATCATACAAAAATAACAGCCGACGCCTCCTCCTTCCTCCACAAAAAAGTTAGGGTTTCTGCCTCCCGCTGTCGCCGCCGCAGGTCTGCCTCCTCTCCGGTGGCCCTAGGGCCATGGGGCGTGGTGGATCTCTGCAAGGGCCGGCGGGAGGGCTTCGTTTTTAGTCGTTTCTTCTAGTTTTGCTAGGGTTTGTGTTCTTCTCAGGAAGACGAGACGGCGCCGGCTCCCGGAAGATGGAATAAAGGTCTCCTCGCCTAGTCCCCGTTCCGGCGGCGCGCCTAGCATCGTTGGTGGGCGTGTGGAGGTGTGTCTCCGGCGGATCTATCTTTGATGGATTTGCTCGGATCTCGTCGTTGTTCGTCTACGTTCGCGTGTCTTCAGATTGGATCTTTCTGATCTACGTTATTCTTCATCTGCTGCGGTTGCTGTTCTGGTGCGCTGGTCCTACGGGGCCTTAGCACGACGACTTCCCGACTGTCTACTACAACAAGTTGTGCCCGACTCCGGCGATGGAGGGGCGATGACGCCGGCGCGCCTTCGGCTCGCTTCAGTGCTGGTAGTCGTCGCTAGGTGGTCTATGATCTGGATATAATTTTTATTATTTCTGGTATTCGTTGTACTGCCATGATTGAAGATGAATAGATCGAAAATTTTCTCGCAAAAAAAAAATCATACAAAAATAACAACGCCATCCTTTTTTTCTTCTGGGAAATGCCAACTTTTTTTTCGAAGGGCTGGGAAATGCCAACTTTATTGTTTATGTCGCCCAAGTACAAAGTCTGAAAGTTTAGCAAATAAACAACCAAGAAATGGGAAATCCACCGGGAGAACCTTGCTCCACATCTTGAGTGCTAAACTTAATTTCATCCGCCACAGAGGGCCAAAATGAAAAGTACGCCACCCTCCCTAATATAAAGGGGTCCCTCGCCTCTCTACTCTCCTCCCCCACTCCCTTCAGTCATTCCTACCTGAAAAGAAAGAGAAGCATTAGCAGTTTGCAGAAGAAACTACTCCATCGATCTCCATGGAAATCTACGGTGACCTCGAGGCCGGCTGCCTCAGCCACTCCGTCTCTCCCATCAAACCGACGTCCCCGCCGAGGAAGGCCGTGCCCGGCCGCCTCTTCTGCGACCCCTGCGACGACGCCGGCGAGCTCCTCGGCCACCACCACTACCTGGACATCTGCTTCAACTGCCGGAAGCTTCTCGCAGGAAACAAAGACATCTTCATGTACAGGTGAATACACGCTACTTGTCATACCGGCCATGATCTCTCCTTTTTGTCACCTCTGCTGAAGAATTGTCTCTGATGGTGGCTTGATTATTTTGTGTTGCAGAGGTGACACGCCCTTCTGTAGCGAGGAGTGCAGGCAGGAGCAGATCGAGATCGACGAGGCGAGAGAGAAGCGCTCGAATCAGACCGGGAGGGCGGAGGAGCAGCGGCAGAGACAGCAGCAGAAGCAGAGCACCCCGAGGATCCCGGTCTGGGCGTGGTAGCAGCTTTCCGGCAACAAAGCCGAAACGTAGGATTTTCAGCAGCAGTTCATGATGAACAAAAGCTCGATGATGAGTTGGGCAGGCTAGATCCAGTTGAGGGAAGCTTGGATCGCCGGTTCGACGGGACGACCACCACCCTCCAGGCTGCAAACCTGCTGCATCTTATGCTGTCTCTGAACCGCATGGATGGGTTCTCATCCTTTTGATCTCCGAAGATGGAGACTAAGAGTTAAATTTTGTGTGTGAATTATCGCTGGTTTTTTGTTCTTGTGTCGCGTAAGGTTGTACTATAGCCTGTCGATATGAAAGAAAAGAGAGAGGCATAACAAAAAAGGGGATCCGGCTTGCCTGCTCCCTTCCTATGCTCCCATCCGTGCTCCCACTTCATCCTACAGCTGTCTTTTTCCTTTTCTTTTTCTAATCTAATTATCTCCCTCTCTTGATTTTAAGGGGGTGGGGTCGGGCTTTATTTTGTTCCAATCAAAACAAGCCACGTACGCGGGAGCACGGATGAGCACACGGCGGGGGAGCTGTCAAGTCTCGTCCAACAAAAGGGCTCTCTCGGTTTTCTCGTTAGTTCAGCTGTGTTCTTTCCTACTGTTCCATGCTTTCATGCTTCCACAGATGGTTCCACCCATAACAGTGGACGCAATATTAAGATTTAAAACTGAATTTATTCGTTTTGGCCCACGAACACAATCGCCGTTCTTTACTGTACCATAGGAATTTAAAGCCGTTCCTGTTTAAAAAAAATGAAAAATACTGGAGGCCGTTGCCTGTTACTGTGTGCATACAGCAAAGGCAGAGGACCAGACAACGGCCCTGTTGGTTCTTGGTGGAGCAGAGCGCAGGTAAAGTCAGGAAAGTCCAGAGAGATAACAAATGATGCCTTCCATTTCTTACTGAAGAAATGATAGCCGTGAACGAATTGTTATTATTTAGACGTTTGCTTCAACAAGAAAAGCAAAGTAGTGTGCTCAACATGACTACTCCTAATAAGGTTCCACACATACATGAGTGAAGTAATAAAGATCTTCTCTTTCGGCCAGACAGCCGGTGGTTTCATTCGCGAGGCCTGTTTCTTGGAAACTTACACGAGGCAACGGCTAGCAACAAGGACCAGCGCATTTTACTTCACCATTTTTCTGTCCACGAAAGCTGCCTTGCTAGTGGATCTCCGGTGTACACCTTACGTGCAAGGTCCACCTGTCAGCTGCCGGAGTATATTAAGAAAACAAAAGGCTCGTACGTCTATCGTCTAACATGTACAAATACGGTTATACGGCAATACCGCCCATGCTTCTAGGACCTGCCTGATCTCATACCCTGCGCACATCGCCGTGAACATACGCTAAACTACTACTCCCTCCGTCCGGAAATACTTGTCATCAAAATGAATAAAAGGGATGTATCTAGATGTATTTTAGTTTGAGATACATCTCTTTTTGTCCATTTTGATGACAAGTATTCTCGGACAGAGGGAGTACAAAGCACGCTGGCCCTAGTACGAAGTACCCGACGTTTTTTGATAAAAAACGCAGTTTTGCTAGAACTCATCTAGATGAGATATAATTTGGTCTCATTCACCTTTTATAGCCATTGGATGTGATGCTATAAGATGCGTGTGTGCTGACGTGGGTTGTATTTATTCTTGTTTTTAAAGTGAATGAGACCAAATTATATCTCATTTAGATGAGTTTTAGGTACTCAAAAAAACGTAGCAACAACAAATCTATCTCATGAAGCCCGTAGATTTCACCTTACCTGCACTGGAGTGCATGTGCAGCGGAGAATCGTTTAGGCAAATCTAGGCCTTAAACAAGCTTATTCAAGGCTTCATTAGGGGGAAAGCTCTCGGATTCCCTCGCCACGTTACGGCCACCTACGAACGGAGGCCATGACGCACGAGGCGTCGGGTCGTTTTGCCTTCGGCCGGGAGGAACCGGCTCGCCAAAGGCATCTCGGGTGCCGGTGGTTCGGGGGGCACCGGCCGGAGCCCCGCACGTGGC